CAATGCGCCGGCCGGTCCTTCACTCCTGCTTGGAGCGAAGGACCTTCTGCCGAATTGCTGCTGCAGATCGCGATCGCGGCTTTTTTGTTTTTGTTTTTTTTCGTTTGGCTGCTTGGGGCAGCCAAAACCCTGGAGCCGGTCCTGGCTGCTCCACATGGCTCCTGGAAGCAGCGTCAGGCTCCACTCCGGCTCCTATGGGTAGGGACAGCCAGGGGCCGTTGGGAACCGCAGCCATGTTGGGAACTGTGGACGGGGCAGTGTGCAGAGCCACTTGGCTGCGCCTCCGCATAGGAGCTGGAGAAGGGACATGCCGCTGCTTCTGGGAGCTGCTTGAGGTAAGCGCCGCCCTGAGTCTGCACCCTTGAGCCTCTCCCCGCGCCCCAACCCCCTGCCCCAGCCCTGATCCCCCTCCCACCCTCTGAACCACTCAGTTCCAGCCCTCCTACACCCCAAACTCCTCATCCTCAGCCCCACCCCAAAGCCCGCACCCCCAGCCAGAGCCCTCAATCCCCCCGCACCCCACTCCCCTGCCCCAGCCTGGAGCCCCCTCCTGCACCATGAACTCATTTCTGGCTCCACCCCGGAGCCCGCATCCCCTCCTGCACCCCAACCCAATTTTGTGAGCATTCATGGCCCGCAATACAATTTCTATTCTCAGATGTGGCCCTCGGGCCAAAAAGTTTGCCCACCCCTGAATCAAAATGTGCAAACGTCAGGGCATTCAAAGTTATAGTTTTATAATCTAGCTCTGTGATAAAAACAAATATATAAAATGGGTGGGTTATAAACATTGTGGGAATGATAACTTTGAATTTCTTATGTTTTGTGCATTTAATTCAATCTCAATCTTAATAGTTCATTAGTTTAATTTTTATTTTTTCCTTTCAAAGGTAAAAATAAATTAAAAAGAAAAAGAAAACATGGTGACCAATAACACCTCTAAGTATGCTGTTTATTTAAATGTGAGATTCAAATATGCTGACTTCCAGTATCAGTTTTATACTGAAGGTGCTTTCTTAGCTACCGGTATCCACCTTGTATCTCTGCCTCAAGCTAAGATCTTTGATTAACAGGAGCGGAAGGATGTTGCAGGGTGGTTTTACAAATAAGTGGAGGGTTTGCACGCTTCAGCCCTAGCCCTAGCTAGTCTTATAGCCTTAATTCATTAGAATATCAACAGGCCCTCAGTGATTAATGTATTGAAACACCTACATGTGAATCCAACATATTGCTTGTAAACCAATGGAGACCTTTCTTTGGTTCTTTCTTTCTCTCTCTCTCTTTGCCTTCAGCGTGTGATTGTCTGCTTCAGAGCATTATGTCCTCTCCTATCATCTATACAGCTTGTACAATTTGATTTAGAAAATGAATCTGAAATGCAGTTCTCATGAAGAGCCTATGCCAAAGCCTAACAAAGCTTTTCTGCTGATTTCAGTGGGCTTTCAATCAGGTGCAGAATGAAGATATCCTTGGGATTTGGGTCAGGCCTTTTAATGGCAAAATAGGCTGCGCTTTAGCCTGTGACTGCTGCTATCTGATGCCCTGAAAAGTTTTGAAAAAGCTGCCAATACTTAGGATGTGGTTATTGTTTTTTCTGACTTAGATTCTTTATATTGTGCAACTACTTACACATGATGAATTTTTGTAGGATTTGAAGAATTGGAAGTTGATTATATCGCATGTTCTTTTTTCAGCTTCAAAACAGGAAATATTGAACATTACAACACAATTGCTTCAAATTGAAGGATTTTTCCTTACACAGGAACTTGCACCAGGCCCACCTGAACACAATATGGAGCATAATAGTCTTTCATAATAAAAAACAAAGGCCTGCTGCTGCATGTCCCCAGCTGTGCTGAATCAGCATATGTAGAAATAGCATTTTCTTCTGGAGTGCTTGATGCACTTCTGTATTGGAAAGGTGGTCTTTCTGGGTGCATGTATAACAGTTTAAAAGGCAATCCCTTAGGTGTATCTATGGGAGGTGGTCTGCTCAGCTTCCCTTGGAGAAACAAGGAGTTAAAACAGCTAGGGGATAGGATGGCTCAAAGGACAGAGAGCAGGTAGAGAACTCTTCACCACCAGGTCACCAGTTGAAAGCCAGGTGTTGTCTACACAAAACTGGCAAAGCACACTAGATGGGTGTGATTTGTAAAGTGCACTAATGTGCCCTGTGTAGACCCTGCTGGCACACTCTAAGGGTATGTCTACACTGCGATAAAAAACCTAATGGCACTGAGTCTCAGATCCTGGGTCAGCTGACTTGGGTTTGCAGCATTTGGGCTACAGGACTAAAAATAGCAGTGCAGATGCTCGGGTTGAGGCTGAAGCCTGGACTCTGAGACCCTCCCTCCATAGGTGCTGGAAGTAGGAGTGCTGGGGGTGCTTCCCCACCCCCTGGCTTGAAGCGGTTTCCATCATATACAGGGTTTACAGTTTGGTTCAATGACTCTCAGCACCCCCACTATACAAATTGTTCCAGCCCCCCTGCCTCCCTCCACCCAGGTCTCAGATTCCAGGCTCCCGCCCAAATGTCTACATTGCAATTTATAGCCCTGCAGCCTAAGCCCCACGAGGCTGAGGCAGATGACGGGTGTCAGCCAGAGCCGTGCCATGGATCTGCTATTGCAGTGCAGACATCCTCTAAAACAGTGACACTCAGCCCTCAGTGGTTCAGGAGCCAAATTAGTAATCAACATTACTCCCAAGTGCCACCGAAGTGTGAATTCATTGTTTCATTTACTATATTTACATTTACATATTGTACATTTCATTTACATATTTAAACAGTATGATGGGGAAATATTTAGTTTATATATATTATGTTATTCTCACAACAAATAAGTTAATAACTTGAGCAAGTTCATAATTTAATTGTTTAATTAAATAATAAATGCATCCCGATTGATTAATAACTTAGATTGGTCAATAATTAAATCACACTGTGTTTCAATATCCTGTGCTGCAAAGAGCCGCAGGAGACACATTAAAAAGCCACTTGTGGCCTGTAAGCCATAGTCTGAGTATCACTGCTCTAAAAGGTACCTTGCCCATGTTAACGTTGTGTGCAACAGTGCAACATGTTAGAGTGCTTTACAAATCGCACCACTCTCGCACACTTTGCCCTGCAGACAAGATCAGGTCAGTGGTGACTGATAGCTGCTACGACCTGATGGCTGTTCAGCAGCCTATGTGAAATGAACAGGCGATGTCAATGCAACTGAAAGTGGACGGGTATCCATAACAACAAACCTTCATCATAAATGGCACCCTTGTTGGCAGAGAAACCAGAAGGAAGAAAATGAGCTTCCTTCTCATCTCCAGGTCAGGGTTGAAGCACAAACGGAGAGAGCAGATTGGGGAAGCTTGGACTCCTCCAGTCTGTGATGTCTCTCTTCTGTGGACAGAAGGCTTCAGTCTCCAGAAGCAGCAATACAGGACCTTGTCACAGAAAAAAAAAGTGTATAAACAGGAGCAAAATTGTAAGTATTGCACAGCATTTTAGCCACAAGACTTCCATTGACTGTAATAGGAGGCTGTTGGCTACAATCTGTGATGTCATGACAAGTGTGCATTAGTGCCCTTGGTTGGAGAGAATAGAGGATCTGCTCAAGTACGTGTGATCATATCACATTCTAGGCACTGGCCTACTGACAGTGTAAGCTATAATACGATGAACACAGGTTAACTAACCACTCTCTTTTAGCTCAATTGCTGAAAGTCCTTCTGAGTCCTATCACTGCTGTTGCATGTATGGTCTACATGATACACTTGCCAACCACAAAGTCTCTGTGACCACAGAGTGAAGTCCTTACAAACCCCATGCAACTTTGGCAACATACACCAATCATTACATTTTCATTGAGCAATTCTTTCACTAATCACTGTATTTAAGCTAGATTGGATCCATTGCAAAAGGATAGATAATCAGAGACTTCTGTAGTTTTATATAACTTACAATTTCTCATTTGCTGTGATTAGGGTGACCAGACAGCAAGTGTGAAAAATCGGGACGGGGATGGGGGGGTAATAGGAGCCTATATAAGAAAAAGATCAAAAAATCAGGACTGTCCCTATAAAATCGGGACATCTGGTCACCCTCGCTGTGATGTTGTAGCTGTGTTGGTCCTGGAGAATTAGAGAGACAAGGTGGGTGAGGTGATATCTTTTATTGGACCAACTTCTGTTGGTGAAAGAGACAAGCTTTTGAGCTTACACAGAGCTCTTCTTCAAATCTGTAAGCTTCAAAGCTTGTCTCTCTCACCAACAGAAGTTGGTCCAATAAAAGATATTACCTCACCTTGTCTCTTTACAATTTCTTGTCAACCCAGAATTCATAGGCTGTCCATCCTAGGAATTGCTGGTCCTATCTCCTTAATTATATTTTACCACTTAACACTCCACTTTTGAAGTTTAACATACAGTGGACATTCTTTTCCCATGACAGCACATAACAACCTGTTTGCTGATAAGTGTTTTCTCTGGTGCTTTTATAACTCAAAAGAATGCAAAAGTATTCTTAGGCAGATAACAGATATAGGACAAAGGGTGGATGAGAAACAAGCCATCATGGTTAAAAAGAAGGAAATGCACTGAAGTAGGAATGGGTATTAGCTAACTTTCTTTTGTGATTCTCAGTCCTGTGATGGCTCCTTGTGCACCACCATGCGGGAGGTAAGTGGGGGCCAGGCAAAAGCAGGTTGGATCTGGAGAATTTGCTGTTATGTAGGTCCACCTATTCTTTCACAGAGGAGAAATATTAGGGTGGAGGTGGTTTCTGCAGCATAATGGCTGAAGCAGCACCTGCAGAATGACTCAATCACTGCTCCATGGCCTCAGGGGAAGTATCCCTCTGTGTGTCTCTAGTGCCCAGCCCACTTCCTCAGGCCAGATTCAAATATAGACCTAAATGAGCTGTGTCAGCTTATTAGCAATGTGCCAAACCACAGGCAGTACAGGACTTTGCAAGACTAATTTTTGTTTAGGTTTAGAAGGCTAAATACATTGCCAATTGCAGCCTGTCAATACAGCATAATGATAAAGAGATTTATGGGGACAATTGCTCTGGTTCTGGAGAGCAAAATGTTAACATTGGAAGCATTGGCAAAATTGAGACTTTGGGATGTTTCCTAAGGTTGCATCTGCTGCCATCAAAACAGTCAGCAGCCCTTCTAGAGACCCTATAAACCAAGGATATTCCATTGAAATATATCCACACATAGGTCCGCTACTTACCGTGGGAAACTATTCCACTGCCTGAAACATCTTGCTGTTGGGAAGTTCTTCCTGGTGTTCAGCCTCAATTGTCCTTTTCTTAATGTCATTCCATTACCACTAGTTCTAACTTCATGTATCAAATGAATTGAATTACTCTCCATTGCCGGTGTTAACAACCTCCAATTATTTGTTGCCTGTTATTTTCCCTTCCCTCTATAGGCATTTCTTAGTCAAGTTCCATTTATGTGGCTCTTGTTGCCTGAATCAGCAAAGCAACTAAACATGTTTAACCGTAACCTAAGTGTTTGTTAGATGGGGATTGACTTTTGCATGTATTTATAACTAAGGAAATGCTTAAAGGTTCTGCTGAACTGGGGCCATAATACTTCCTTCTAATTACATCACTCCAGCCCTCTGATATTTTTGTTATTCTTCACTTGAACTCCCTACAATTTGTCAATATCCTTCAGGGGACCAGTCAGTGGGAACAGGGAAGTGATTTTACCTCTTTGTAGGGCATCAGTGAGATATTAGAATATTGAGTACAGTTCTGATATCCATATTTATAAAGGATGTTGAAAAGTTGGACAGGGTGCAGAGAGAAGCCCCCAAAATGATTTGAGGGCTGGAAAAAATGCCTCATCGTGAGACACTTCAAGAGCTCAGTCTGTTTAGCTTATCAAAAAGGTAGTTGAGAGGTGACTTGGTCACAGTGTATAAGTACCCTGAAGAGGAGAAAATACAGGGTACTAAAGGGATCTTTAATCTAGCAGAGAAAGGCAGAACAAGAACCAATGGCTGGAAGCCAAAGCCACACAAATACAAATTAGAAATCAAGCACAGTAAGGGTGATTACCCATGGGAACAAAGTACCAAAGGAAGTGGCAGAATTTTCCAGCTCTTGAGGTCTTCAAATCATGACTGCCTGCCTTTCTGGAAGATATGCTTTAGCCAAGCATAAGTTAGTGGGCTCAATACAGGAGTCATTAGGAGATATGTTAAAGGTCTATGATATACAGGTGGTCAGATTAGGTGATCTAATGGTTCCTTTTGGCCTTAAACTCTGTGAAACGATGGTAATGTTGTATCCAGAATTTAATACAACATTCTAGGTGTTTTTGCCCAAGAAACGTATAGAATGGGACTATTACTTCCCTGTTTGCTGATGCCTCTGTGTATGTAATCTAGAATTGTGTAGCCCATTTGTGTGCCCATGTCATTTGCAAAAGTATGTTTAATTTGAAGCCCAAGACAGTGGTCCTGGAACACTTTTTTCAGTGGGGGGCTGAAAGCCAGTGGTCCCCAAACTTTTTACTTCGCACTCCTCTTACCCCCGTCCATGCCCCCTCTCCCCAGAAGTGGGGCCAGGACCGGACCATGGCTCCGGGAGGATGTGGGGGACGCGGACAGGAGTAAGGGGGCTAAGGCTGGGACCACAGCTGGAACCAGGAGTGGAGCCCCAGGCGTGGGGCCAAGAGCAGAGCCCAGGGCCCTGCAGCCGGGACCCTGGGATGCAGGGCTGGGAGCAGAGTCCCAGGCGCGGGACGGGGGGGCTGGAAGCAGAGGCCAGCCTGGACCCCTGGCAGAGGGCCAGGAGCAGAGCCCTGGCCGCTGAGCCAGCAGCACTGGGACCCTGGGCAAGGGGTTGGTGGGCAGGACCGCACACAAAACCTGGGAGTGCTGCAGGACCCCCCACACCCTTAGTTCCCATGCCTATGGCTCAATATAATCTGTAGGACTGTTTTGGTATTTGTACAGCCCCCATTACCATGGCACAGGGGTGGGCAAACTTTTTGGCCCGAGGGCCACATCTGTGAATAGAAATAGTATAGCAGGCCATGAATGCTCACAGAATTGGGGTTGGGGTGCGGGGGGGGGTGAGGGCTCTGATTGGGGGTGTGGGATCCGGGGTGGGGCCAGAAATGAGACGTTCAGGGTGCGGGAGGGAGGTACGTGGGGGGGGGGGCGGTGAGGGCTCTGGCTGGGGGTGCGGGCTCTGGGGTGGGGCTAAGGATAAGTGGTTTGGGGTGCAGGAGGGTGCTCTGGGCCAGGACAGAGGTGTTCAGAGGGCAGGAGGGGGATCAGGGCTGGGGCAGGGGTTTGGGGTGTGGGGGTGAGGGCTCCGGCTGTGGGTGCGGGCTGGGGATGAGAGGTTTGGGGTGCGGGAGGGTGCTCTGGGCTGGGACTGAGGGGCACGAGGAGAGGCTCAGGGGTGCAGGCTCTGGGCGGCACTTACCTCAAGTGGCTCCCAGAAGCAGCAGCATGTCCCTTCTCCGGCTCCTACATGGAGACGCAGCCAGGCGGCTCTGCGCGCCACCCCGTCCGCAGGCACCGCCCCTGCAGCTCCCATTGGCTGCGGTTCCTGGCCAATGGGAGATGCTGGGCTGGCGCTTGGGGTGGAGGCAGCATGCAGAGTGGCACCCCCTGGCTGCCCCTATGCAAAGGAGCCAGAGGGGGGCCATGCCGCTGCTTCTGGGAGCTGCATGGAGCGGCCCCCAACCCTGCTCCCTGGCTGGAGCGGGGCAAGCCCCAGATCCTGCTCCCTGGTGAGAGCTCGAGGGCTGAATTAAAACAGCTGGCTGGTTGGATCCGGCCCGCGGGCCATAGTTTGCCCAGCCCTGCCATAGCATCTGACCACCTCACAGTCTGTAACGTATTTATCTATACAACATCCCTTTGAGGCAGGGAAGTAATGCCCCTATTTACAAATCATAGAAATGTAGGCCTGGACAGGACTTCAGTAGGTCATCAAGTCCAGCCCCCTGTGCAGGCAGGACCAAGTAAACCTAGAACATCCCTGACAAGTGTTTGTCCAATCTGTTTTTAAAAACGCCAATGATGGGGCTTCCACAGCCTCCCTCAGAAGCCTGTTCCAGAGCTTAATAACTACCCATATAGTTGGAAAGTTTTTCCTAATATCTAACCTAAAACTCCCTTGCTGCAGATTAAGCCAATTGCCTTCAGTGGATGGAGAAAAATTGATCACCGTCCTCTTTATAACAGCCAGCCCTTAACATATTTGAAGACAGGTATCAATTCCCCCCTAAATCTTTCTTTCCTCATAGGTCAGGTTTTCTAAACCTTTTATCATTTCTACTGCTCTCCTCTGGACGCTCTCCAAATTGTCCATATCTTTCCTAAAGTGTGGTGGCCAGAACGGGATGCAGCACTCCAGTTGAGACTAGTTCAGTTCTGTCTTACATACATAACTCCGGTTAAT